CTTGATCATTCTAATTATACTTGGAGAAGAGTGCAAGTTATTAAGCTCCTCGTTATGCAGTTTTCTCCATTCTCCTTTCACCTCTGTTGGACCACAACTAAGAAAAAACGAAAGGCTTTTGTTTGAACGGCAACGAAGCTGTGTACCATGAATCTCTTTATAAACCTGTGATTGTAATGGCAAATATCAATGCATCTACCTACAGCTGTCAACTAAACTAATGGCAAGACTTGAAAGAAACACTAGAAGACCAAAAATAGATGGAAAAGAGAACAAACACACCGTGTTATTAGATTTGATGTTCTGACAGCGGTGAATATGAAGAGTGCTTTCTTTTGGGATGTGATGCCGTGAATTCTGGTAGAAGTTCACCGATGTTATCGGAGGACACTGACTGATATAAAACTGCCTCTACATAACGCAAGACCTGAGCTTGATACGTCCTTCATGCTGGTTTCTGGCTTGGCTTATTCGTCGACCCGGAAGATGGAGTCGACATGTTCATCCGAAACGTCGGTTAACTTTCAACTCAACATGGCGTTATATCCAAGAAGATATTACTTTTCGCTGTGAAGAACTTGAGTGTTACCTACAAGAAACGAATGTCTAGACCAGATGAGCAACTACAAACGTTTCAAAGAATATCATACGATCACCTAAACAACAGACTCATCTAAGTGGAACCAAATTGTGCTTATAGCTGTGGTCCCTCTTCTTGTGTACTTCCTGGCATCAGCCATTTTCGCCCGTCATTTGAATTGTTTGTAAAGACTGCCACTAGAGTCGCGCCTATCGAGTTGATTGTGACTTGCAACACAAACAGAGAACAGGAAGGAGGTTGTCTGATGAAATGTGACTCAAAATCGTTAGCATTGTGTTCTTTTTATTATGTTATTTGAAAATATTGTCAAAAAAATTCAATCAGCAATTGACCAAAATTAATTTAAAATCTTCTGTCCCCATTTTCAGAGTAAAATTTTTCTAGTCTCCCCCCCCCTCAAACATCGGATAAATTACGTGAGATATTCATAACTTTATTTTTGCGTATTATAATAAACCACGAATACATAAACATTTCAGTATTTTGCATTATGTTTAAGTGGCGGCTCGTCGGTTGAGAACAATGTGACCAAGTATTAGGTTACGTGCCGCCACTGACTACTTGCTGCATGCCCTATTAAAAACGTATCGATGCGAGTTTCCATTTCTTCCTGCAGTAATGTATCACTTCCCAGGGACCAGGCAACTTGCACTTCTGGGATCCTGAATTTAATTTAAGTTCAGAAATGTAAGTACACCTAATCTCACTGTTATTAGTTTCGATAAATCGAAACGCTCTCCGTCTTACCGAACTAACAATGCAATCGATTGTAAAGATCAAACCAAACACAATCTAGATGATTATGCAGCGCCATTAATCATCGCGATGCTTCCGAAATCAGGGATAGGAAGCTGTTATAAACAGGGTGTGCAAAAACACAAGATATGAAATGTCAACATGGAGTGGTAACTTACGATTTCAAATACACATCAAAATACAAAAAATAGGGGCTTATATGTCTATTTAACCGAAAAAAAACATATCAACATCAATTCAAAATTAGCATATTTGTATAACCCCAAAACATAGATAAACTTGGGAAAACCCAGAAGTCGAAACTTCTGAAACATTGAACTGGCTTCTAGCACCAACCGTCGCTTGAAGGAAGCTACATATTAAGTATATACATGGTGTACATGTACATACATTATATACCTGTGCATTAGCGAGAGATGGTATAAGAAATACATACATCGCTTTTGCCCCCCCCCCCAGAAGAAAAACTCGATGGAAGTGACAACTGGTGGCGGCAAGGCATAGTTAGCGGTCAGTGCTACATAAGAGAATTCATCTGGCTTAAGATCAGGCGAAATGGTAACCTGTTTGCCAAATAGCATTTCTACAAATATGGAAAATGTCTCGACAACACAAGAAACTGACAGCTTCCCAGAAACGCCCTGTACATGTAATTACTTTTAAATTATGCAGCTGTATACAAACTTTTGAGGCATTCGATACGTTAAGAATCTTCGCGTTCAAATTAACATTCCAAGCACTGAGCAATTAGGGAACTGGATTCTTATCCACCCGGTTGGAACTGCTCAGAAAACCAGCCTGGAATACTGCAAATGCTCGGACAGTATTTCAATTCAGGCCACAGCCGCTTCCAGGCACATCCTCTTCAGTTCAATATTCTCTAACCATGTACTTACGTCTTGTTTTATTCTCGCGTTAACGAACTGTCGTGGCCAACTCTGAGACACTATCCCGGCATTTGCATGGAGGGACTGAAGAAAACCAGTATAAACCTCTGTCAGGGCAGTCGACTTCCCGATATTCGAACCAGAGACCTCCCAAATACAAATGTAATTTGCTTGGTTGGTCACCCATTCATTTGACGATATTTAATCTAACACCCTGAAAGCATCGTTAAACAAACATCGCATAAATAAACAGACAAAACATATATGCTCTGTACATGACTTTGCCCAGTTAAACCACTCGAATCTTGTACGATATTTAAATCAACTTTATACAAAAAAATACATTAAACTGTGAGACATCGTCACAACTGTTTCTTCCTTATAATTATGGCTTTACAAACTGCAAATTTCTGAGGTGGATTGTTTCAATTTCGGCTCCGTTCCACAGGAATTGAATAAAAACTAAACTCCGTAGCTTGAGTCCGCAAGCGAACTATACCGACCGAGTTACCGCCGCTTGTTGGCGAAGTTAGTTCCAACTTTAGCGGTTAGAGGGTGTCGCGTGGTCAGCGCAACGAATCCCGACGGCCATTAATTTCGGTCTTCTAGACCGGAGCCGCTATTTCGTTGAAATTGCCCTCATGAGGCTGAGTGAACCCCGTTCCAGGAGATGAATATAAATATTTCTATTTTTTTTTCAGCTGCTGTTTGTATATTACGATTGTAAAGTTAATTACGCAAGAGAAAGAAATTAAATTTGTGTGTGTACCTTTTATGACTTTCCATTTAGTAAATAACGTTTGAAACCCACGCTACATTAATGTACTGCCCACCACTGCCATAACAAAACGGGAATTCTGCGTGTAGAGCGTGTGGAGGGAGAACAGGGGAGTTACTGCACCTAGGATCCGACTTTACGCGAATAGGCAATGCTGCTAAACTCTGTCGTCAATAATCGATTAGCTAATGACGTATGTGTATACATATGCGTATCTGAAGGTGTCGCCACCACGCGGTAGTTCCACGAAGTACCTATTCTCTGTATTAAAGAAAAAAAGACGGTGAATCCGCGGCGGCACAACAATTTTAGCGATTTAGCCCGCATATTTTTTTCCTTGGCACTACAGCCCCAGTGAGCCTAGGCCTACCTCCATGAACTTCTCCGTTCACTTCGGTTTTTGTAGATCTTACACATTCGGTAGGACTCCTTGGGCGGGTGATCAGCTCGTCGCAAACACAGAAAAACGCAAAAACACAAACTAAACATCCATGCCCTGAGTGGGATTCGAACCACGATCCCGGTTTCCAAGCGAGCGAAGACAGTACATGCCTTAGACCGCTGGGCTACCGTGACCGGCAGCCCGCCTATTTACATTAGCAAATACTAAACTTGATGATCTGTTACAGATAACTGTGGTGACGACAGCACTGCGCATGGGCAAATTACTCTAATTACACACCTCGAAAACATTTAAGACTTACGGGGGAAGAATGTACTGGGCATATAAAATGCGTGTTTTGTTTTACCCTAGGACTTCTATTCTGGGGGGGGGGATTTCGTTCCGATTGCGTCTTCAAATGTTAAATATACTTCATGTTGCTGAGCGAGTTGGCTCGTGCGGGGAAGTATTTATCGACCCGTTGCCTAGCAATGGCTATACACGTTACAATATTGTGTATTACGACACAGTGCAGTCTTGTAACTGGCTACCGGTGTTTCGGAGGAACATCTTCAGCGTGCCTGGAGGACAGTCTGTTCATCCGAAACTTTGTTAGACACAGGACTGCACGGCACCATAACTCACAAGAACACAATCTCAATTCTGCCCATTCGTACGTCACGTGATAGAGTGTGACTAGTGACGGGTTTCTGATTGATTATTGGATTTACTGGACTCTTTGGATACAGCGCGTGACTACATTTTAATTTCACTACAGGCACGCGCACACACGCACACACTGCTGCCCATAGTTACTTCACTGCCGTTGCTTGGTACCGGCTTCCAACACTGGACGTTCCACTTCGTGTGGGTTCCCGAAATATCCCCGGTCTCAGCTACCAGCTTCTAATATCAACAGCTCACAATGGCTGACCCTCAGCGTTTCTCTGGCTAACTCAACTCGACTCAACTTAACTGACTTGGGAAGAGAGGGAAGAAGAAGGAAAGTAACATTAACTCACTAAAGATCATAAAAGTAATTGCAATGGTTCTTAAATAAATTCACGAGGCAGTTACAAGTATATTCTGTGTCAAAAACATCTGTGAGGTTGCTTGTCTGCATCACAACACACAGACAAGCAACATCAACTACCGACAGACAACACACGTCAACAACATCCCGAAGCAAAAAGATTGGGCCAAGCGGGAAAGAATTCTAGGGATTTTAAGAATTCTTACTTCAAATAACGAAACATAATTTTACAGAATTAACGACGAATCAAATAAGGAAGCTACTGTGGTGTGTGAAAAACTTTTAGTGAACCGACATTCTGGGTAATTTTAACTATTTGTAATTATTTTAATTAACTGGAACGTGGCTATCTTGGACAAAGTGAAGTTTTGTGTGTTGGTGATTTCTTTTTCTACTATAAATGCCTCTGATGATGGCTCCGTGGTGAGCCGAAACATGTAAGGCAGGTGCTGACGAGGTGGAAAACTTAAAAAAGTGTCACATTTGACGGAAGGAACTTGATTGTTAATTGGTTAGTGTGACGGACCAGAATGAAAGACCTTAAACTTATATTACTAATTAATTAATTTATTTAGCTTTGTTTTTAACTTATAGGTAGATTATAAAGTTAGCATTAAAATCTATCTCATGCCAAGAATTTTGACAGCGTGGTATAGGATACAAATGTGACGCCGTGTAGTCCGGCGAAAGTTCATCGCCACAGGAAACTTGGTGATTACTTCTTGCTCTTGCTTAGCATATCTCTGACTCTGAAGACTGGTGCGCACTTTCCGAAACGTCGGCTAACTTCTACCAGACTACACGGCGTTATGTACCTGAAGACAGCACTCTACATTATTACTGAGTTTCTCGACTTTTCCCATTGTATAATATTAAAACAGAACACAGCGTTTCGGATATTGAATCTGCTTCCGTCCTCTGGTAAAAAGGTGTGTATTATTCAGTTATGTCCATCAGAAATAGTTCCCGAAACGTCGTCTAATGTTCGGATGAACGAACGAATGAGCAAAATCCAGGAACCCAACCATCCACACTCGCAGAGCTCTGCATGAAAATTACTTGAAGTTAGGTAGCTAATTCAGTACAGTGACTAGAAACAGGGTTCGATTCCCAGCAGAGTCACGGAGTTGGTCTCCTGTTCAGACCGTCCACACTGGCTGCGGGGCCCACCCATCGTTAATATACAATTGGAAATTGGGGGGGGGGACCTTCCTGGAGGGTAAAGCGGCCGGTTTTCGAGGCTGACCACTGACTCACCTTAATCTAGTGCTGGGGTTAAGAATGCATGGAACTATACCTCCACTCTGCCACAAGTCTTCATGACCCAGTGCTCAATTAAGCATATGCTAAGTTGTTTCGAAAAGAAAGACGATGCACTGTGACACAAGTTTCCTTCAGAACCGGCATATTGAGTAAGCGTCAGGATATAGCGAGGCAGTGGTTGCCGCTGCATCGCGAGAAAGAAGAAGGGCATATAACTCCCAAACACCGCACATGGGCCAATGGACCCTCTGCCAGAATAGCCGGGCCTGGCAACACGGACGGGGGGGGGGGTTCCCCGCGTTATGACGGGTAGGTTCCCGTTATACACTGGCAGTGCCACCGTCTCCGTACCCCTGAAGGGGCCGGCAACCCCTCAACCCCTTCAATAATTTTTGCGTTGTGTTGTTAGAACCCACGGACAGGCAAACTGTTGTTGCGGCGCTGTTGTTGTTCGTCGCCGACGTTGTGGTTGTTGTGGGCGGAGCGCTGGACTTGGTTCCGGTCACGTGCTTCTTGACCACGGCATTATGGGCGTCTGGGAATGCTGTCGGCGCACTTCCTTTCCAAGGCCATCTGAATGTCCTCAGGAGCGTGTTCCTAAAGTCTTCAGAAAACAAACAGTAAATGTAGAAGGTCATGGAGTAGTTGGTGACCTCCAGGAGGTTCGCCACGGCCCGGAACACCTGGTAGGAGTAGAGGCTCAGGTTCGTCTCGGAGAGCGTCACGTTCAGGATGACCATCGGGGAGACGCACACCAGGAAGAGGATCGACGTGCTGCCCAGCAGCAGGATAAGGCGCCGCTCCTCTGCGAATTTCCGGGGATCCTCGTCTGAAGAGGTCCTGCACAGGGTCATCCTGCGCCTTCGCTCGCAGGACCGGCGGTACACGATCATTATCCTCATGTTAAGGGCTGCTAGCAGGACGGTGGGCCCCACCTTGAAAACGACCTCCAGCACCACCTGTGGGGCAAACGAGACTGCTTTCAGCGTCGTGCTTATGCTCCATCTGCCACAGGAACAAGCGTGCGTCATCCTCATCATTGGAAAGTTACTGGTTCCGACATAGCGCAGTAGAGTGCGGTGAAAGTCAACAGAAGGTTAGGAGAAACACGTCGCCTCCTTCTTCGGGGCCGAAGAATAAGCCAAGCAAAAACCGTGCGTGAAAGCAAGTGGCAGGCAATGTTCCTCCGTAACGTTGGTTGACTTTCAACGGGCTACACGGTGTTAATTCCAGAAGACAGAGGTCTTCAAGACCCCAAATCCTACTTACTACGTTCTATTTTAACGTACTTCCGGTGGAAGGAAATCTGAACAGACCTACAAGGGATATTTCATCCGTAAGGTTGCCTACACAACGTATGACGTACCCTGGTTTGTGGAGCAGATGTACTTTACCTGTAAGTTACGGCATTTAAAATATTTCCTGTCAGTACATTGACTACGGTGCGGGCTGAAGACCGAGGAATCGAGGTTCGATTGTCGGGGAGGATACGGAATATCTGGACACGTTGGGGCACCATGAACAGGGCAGGCAGGGCAGCTGAACTGTACCACACATGATGTCCTCTCGGGCCATCTGCCGAGTCAACGCTGAACTAAAAACCAACGTTTCAGCGATCTCCTCTGCCTCCATCATCAAGGTGGAAATGGTGAACTGCAGCGACACGAAGAGGCACCGATTTGACAAACTGGTGTAAGTATCGGTGACGTAAGATCATTCACCACGCCGACCCTGATGATGGAGCCAAAGAAGATCTCTGAAACGTCGGTTTTTAGTTCTGTGCTGACTCGGCCGATCGCCCGAGAAGATTCTATAGCACGTTTATGCGCCACGCACCTTGTAGACAGAGTAGAACACTGAATTGAGGAACCGCTTGTTGTCCTCCCTCTGGTAGAACAGGGGCCCATCGGGGGAGGCGAAACACGGCCTCAGTTCATTGCGGAACACGTTGGGGAGGTACAGTAGGAACGTGAGTGGGGGAATGAGCGACACGATAAGGCGCGGGGGCCCCATCAGGGGCTGGCTGCTTCCGGGGTGGCACACGGATACATAGCGCTCCACAGTGAGCGCCAGCAGCATCATAACGCCGACGCCTGCAAAATAAAAGGGGGCACTGAATTTGAGATCAGTTTAAACTGCGTCTAAAACATCTTCGAGGGCGCGTCATCTCGCAACAGTGACGCAGATAGTTACGTCACCGGATTCCGTTCACAATTCCCATGCCCGAGATCTGGTTCAAGACAAAGGACTTTTCTTTCGTAAGGTTGGTTACTCAAGGTATGACGCAACCACAGAGATGTTTCAGACAGACGTTAGTCAAAACCCTCCATACTGAGGTGCTAAATCGAGTGCAGCAAATTATCACGAAGTGAACAATGTTTACTTACTTATTTACATGCTACATAATGTCCAATGAGATTTTCAATAAATAAATTACTGGACGTGACGTGAAAAGAAACTGCCATGACCTAATAAAGATACTGTCCAGGAAGCTGTCAAGGAGTGACTAAGGAAAACATAAGAAACCTCAGTCGGGATGGACGAGACAATACGTCCACATTTCTCCGAAACGTCAGTATGTATCTGCTGAAGACGTTACCCAAGCAGGCGTTTCCCAGAAAGAGCTCCATGTGTTCATGGTACAGAGCCTGGGGCAGGTTGCTCCACCGGCCCGAGTCTTTGTATATCCTGAGCCTCAGGCTGAAGGGAATGGCGAACAAGATGGCGAGCAGCGCAGCCGCAGAGTAGCCTGCAACAGACAGGAATGAAGGCTATTGGTCGGTACGTGGCCATTTATACACACGAATTGAAAATACAAGCAATTACATCACAGCTACTCTCCATAATTCACAAATCACCACAGCACCCGCTAATCCTTTTCCAGTCTGCTGTGTCTTCACTAGCCGTTCCCTGGCAAGGGCTTCTAACAGTAGAGATTCTTCAGCTTTACACGCTTAAGTCCTCTCTTCACAGAATCTCGTACAGAACTAAGCTCTAACCTTTTCCCTTGCTTATAACATCTCAGCATTCCTCTGTCGCAGGCGTATTCGTTACCGCGGGAACGTGTTTACCAAAGCTGTTGCCGAGAAAAGGCCCTGGTATATTCGCCCATCTCGCGGACGTTGCAACGGCTCTACACGCTACAATGTGTTATAAAGGGTTCTTGAGGGCTTTTCAGTATTTCATCTGCTGCTCAGCAACGTCCCCGTCATCAAAACATAATAAGAATGGATCTACAAGGCTCACCATGTCTGTCCGCATGTAACAAGAACAGCTGAAACTATTTTTGTGATTTTTAAATTTTATATTCGGGGATTTTACTAAAATGCATCGACATGTTAAGCGGTAAATGTTGGGGAGGTTTCTCAAATCAGGCCTCGACCACTTCACTTCAGTTTCATCTCATTGTTCCCAGGCATCCTACCGCACGGCGCCACAAACGAGCGAGACGACAGTCAGCTTGTTACTTCATGCTAACGTGGCAAACTGTGGGCTTTTATTTGCAAAGTTAAGCGACTTTGCGGTTGTTTTGTGTTTCGGGAAGAACAAAGCTTGACGTGTTCTCATCGCCCTGGGAGGCCTTTGTTTTGGTTTCATATGTTCGACGCGCGGGGCAGCACTAGAGCCCGCCCGGCCTGTCGCTTCCTGTCACGTGACTCATACCGAGCCCAGCGTAAGCATCAAAGCTACGCTTTCCTGTCTTGAAGGGGTGGCTAGTTTCGAGCCCTTCTGCGTATTCTGCAGGCAATGACCCGGCGAACTGGCGGACGCCGTGGCTCTTCTGACTTGAACTGAGGAGATGCCCGGTTCGAATCTCGGTAGGGAAAACCTACTATCCTGACTCACGCTCTTCGTGGCTTTCCCTAGTCCCTAGTCTTACCCTTCATCAGGAGCCTGGATAGCTCAGTCGGTACGGCCGAGGGGTCGGAGTTCGGGTCCCGGTAGAGACAAGCTCTTTCTCTGCCACACAGCGTCCAGACCGGCTCTGGGGTTCACCCAGCCTCCTGTCCAGTGGGTACCGGGAGGGAGATTAAGAGGCCGAGGGGTGAAGCTGACCACTCAACTTGAAATAGCGCCGAGGTTAAGAATACGGGGGTCCGAACATCCACTCCCCTATACGCCTTCATGGCGTAGTGCTTAATTAGTTAAGCGCAAAGCAACATTACTTTTTTTACCTATACGTTACCACATCTCAAAAGCTGATCCTCTTTATAAGACAAATGGCTTGTCTCCTGAGCTGCCCACGCAGTTCTGTCTTGATGAGGAGATACATTTCTACAAGCCCGTTCTTTCTGCAGACATGCAGGACCTTCATGCGGAGAAAAGTAGTCGAAAAAATGTGGATTATTCGCTGAAAGCACAGACTCCATGTCATGGAATGGACGCCGGAAAATGCTACGGGTTTGCCTGCGTCACATATGAAGGCTATCGAATGAGGAGCCATTTGAAACGGTTTCCGGAAAAAAAAAAGACGTTTCACCGCTTGATAGATACTACTTGCTAGAGTAAGCCATTTGATTCCTGGACCGAGAGAACTTCTGAGAAAGAAACCATTCATTTATTTTTTGGCGATGTCATCTTAGGGGCAGTGATGAGCACTTCAGCAGTCCGCTACATTTTCACGGGCTCTTCGCCGAATGTCCACAAAGTGAATTTCTGCCTTCTGCGATATAATGCCGTGTATTCTGGTGAAATTCGTCAGACGTTTCGGAGAAACACCGCTTCCATCTTCAGGGCCGAAGTTTAAGCCATGAAATAAACCATCATGAAGGGGGCACAAAGATTTCCTTGCTGCCTTTTTCATGCAAATATTTATCTCCGAAACGTCACTCGACTTTCACCGGACTACATGACAATATCTCCCAGAAGACATAACACTTCACAGACACCGCTGTGGTAACCTCAAATTCAGAAATATTGAGGTCGAGTCTGAATGTCTGAGCGTCCACAATCCCCAGTAAAGTCGACCCGCAGAGTTACTTTTGGTTCAGAATCGGTGAAATACAAAGCCCACTTTACAGGGAACGAGCTGGTTGGAGAGGCAAGGCGGGAGGTGTCCGGTCGAATACCGGCGTGGAACCTGGCTATCATCACAAAAGTTTTATGTGGTTTCGTTCAGTAACTTCCGAGTCAAATGACAGAGCAGTAGCTTAAATCAGGCCACGACAGTTTCTGTTACAAATATTTATACACCACTCGTCCTACCATTCGACGTTGCAAGTCGGACCACATAACAGCGCTCTTAAATGCGCCAAAAACCAAACGAAATACACAGGCAGCATCCTTTAATAAACAGATCAATAATAAGAAAGTACACAGGACGTACCAACAAAAAAAAAGTGACGGACATAAAATTCTTGCCTCGAGAGGGAATCGAACCCATGGTTCTAGTGCTCCAGATCCATATTATCATATAATTAGCAGCCGAGATCTTGTGCAGACATGCAGGGCCCTGTGTGGGCAGGGGCCCCCTCCAGTCACACCCACGACACTTCACATTGTGACGCAACAAAGGGAGGCACCGGCCATCCTGTTCTCCGGACCTCATTGTTTAATTTCGGCGTCTTCGGGGCGCGTCTGCAGTTGCGGATGCATGAACCGGCCTGCAGATGCAAAGCGCGGCTGAAAATATGTTAAAATGACTAGTGGCGAGCAAGCGACAAGGGGTAGTCCTCGTACAATGCTGTCATTAGATCAGACCACATTGCAGTAACAATAGGATTCAAAATCTTTAGATGGATAGCAACAATATATGGGTAATAATGAAACTGAAAGGATTTATCTTTGTGTTTCTCGTTTACTCACCGACAGTCTCTCCCTAATTTAAAGCTATCATTCACAGACGGCAGTATTGTTTTCAGTGACGTGACACCGTGCAGTCCCATACAAGTCCACCCTCGTTTCGTTCTGCCTCTGTGTCCAAGGCTGGCTGCCTTTTTCTCGCTGAATTGTTCCTTGCCTTACGAAGGCAGTACGCTCCTCCGAAACGTCCGTGTGTCTGACCACATATAGTATCCTACTTTTCGTGGCCAACTCTGTGAGAACATTTCCCAACTTGTGCACAAGAATTGCCGGTTACCCTTGCAGCACTGGACCAACCCTCAGAGGAAGGACACCAATTACGTCATCGCGTATCGTGTCTTCCTGCCGCGTGACTAAATGGAAGCCGACAGCTCGCCCTTCTGTACACGAAGAGACACACTTGCGGAAGTCAAGGGGACTGTCTATGTGCTCATTCACCGAGCCGTCCCTCCAATGGGTCGCATGTCCGTGCTAATTTGTTAACGTTCGCTTCGTATTCGGTGGTTCCGGGTTAGAACGCTCCGCAGTGACCACCCCCCCTAGGGATACGTCTAAATCCGTGGGGTGTGGGTCACAATGAGTCCACTGGTGGGCCCAATGTACCAGCCCCGGATGGTAGATGAGTGCGTAGCGGTTGGTGGAATGAAAATTGGCAGGGAAAACAGATGTACTCGGAGAAAACCTGCTCTAGTGCCAATTTGTCTACCACAAATCCCAAATGACCTGACTTGGATTCTGAGCCACCGCAGTTGGAAAGCAGTGCTACGGCACGTTCTAGAGCGTTAGTTAGAATAGGTCACGGCCGGTTTCTCCCACGTCCTCTCCAATCCATCATACACACAGCCATCGCAGTGTTCCACGGAGTCGAAATTCTCTCCTGGGAAAGAAATTCACCGACGTTTCGGAGGAACGCACTGCCTCCGTCTTGAAGTCTGAAGATTAAGCAGGGCAAGTAGTAGTCTGCGAGCAGGTAAAAAGACAAAGAAGAGCAAAGTTGTCCCTGCGCACCGCGCCATGAAGACGTATGGGGGTAGCCTTACAGCACCACCATTCTTGACCTCGTCTGTAGATGAAGGTGAGAGGTCAGTTTGAAGCTCCGCCCAATTCACACCAGGTATGGGCGGGCCCCAGAGTCGGTGTGAAAACAGTGGAGAACAGAAAATATCTCTTGACCTTCCCGGGAATCGAACCAAAGCCGTCCAGCTCGTAGGCCGATATATCGACTGAGCTACCCCGGATCCTTGGGGGCAAGAACAAAGCCAGGCAGGCTTCATGAGATCCAACCGAAATATTTTTCCTGATAAGTTCCAAAGGGTTGAAGCGATGGTACTACTGGGCTCGCAGATGTAAAGTTTCGGAGGCTACATCTGCTTCTGTTCTCAGGCAAAGATTTCGTTAGAACGTGCCTGTTCCAACCAGTGGACATCATATGAAAAGTAAATTTAACAAGATCTGCTATTATCCACAAACTTTGAACCCCGACTTTAAAATGCGTTAAATTCGCTCTGAGTTCAGGATGTCGCGGAACACACAAATTACAGTCACGGTTCACAGATTGACAAACACCGTGTCCCGTTCCCATCGTCGCAAAAGCTCTTTGTATTTCCGTTACGATAAAATCTGCAAATGGATTCGTGCTCCTCAAGCAGCGTTTTCTTCTCTTCCTGAGCCATTCAGAATCATTTCAGTGTTCAGGCAGGAGCATCTATGAAGCCGTGAATAAACGAGCTACACCTACACATAAACAGAGCGAAGAATCCAAGTGGCTGTGCGGAAAAGTGAGGAACAAACGGGGGCCAGTCCATGCAAACCGATCGCAAGATCGATACAACACATCGAGGTTTCAGAGGCGCCAGACAGATAATTTGTTTTTTCTTAAAGAAAAGTTGGCAGGTGAAAGAAATCACTGCGCATGTGTGAAGGATAGATTTCAGCGGCAGACAGACA